AATGTATTCGAGGAGCAATGATGATGCTAGAGAGGGTGTCGATGCTAGATTGGGTGCGATGGTGCGTAGCAGCTTCGAACTCACCAGCACTTACACTGTTGATAGTAGACTCGAAGATCAGAAAGCTGTTCAGTGCGGCTTACCTCCACAAAAGCAGGTGGAGGGAATAACACCTGCTCTAGGCTACTTATTTCCTTTTCAAAATATGGTTAAACGCACCGTCTCATATGAAATAGCGCACGATCTCAACTTTTGCGTGTACACATGAGGCCCATTCTTCGCTCACTATCGCTAGTCTACTTTCAATTCTGTGCGGCTAGATTTAGGAAATTCCTCTTGTATTCATGGTATGCCGCCGGCTACTTAATTACTCACCCGGGTGATTTTGGGACGCTCACGCAAATCTGTTTTCCTCCTGATTTAGGTTTAGAAAGTATAAAGCAATGAGCTGTGACGGGTCCTTTTTTCATCGTTGCTCTCATTGTGAGAAGCTTCTTTTTTCCAAGCATTTCGTCCTAGAGCATTACATTTGTTCATAAAGTGGCGAAAGTTATCCTACTGTGAATATAGAGTGCATGCGAGTGAAACTGAAGTATTACTTTATGTGTATAAATATCAGCAAAAGCATTAAAAGGTCATAAAACGTGATTAAGTGACCATGAGAGTATTTTCTAGTCCTCAAGGGAAAAGTCTATGTAATGCGAAAATTCCCCCCCCCCCCCCCACACACACAAAAACCGAACCGAGCAAATTTGGAAAGCAGATTTGAACTCATCCAAAAACACGTCCAGTAGTGTAGGTCTCATCTCAAACGGCTACTTCGACTTGGGATCCTTCCCTGGTGAGGCCTCTTATCTAGGCTCTTCGACGTTGACCTGTCTGAAGTTGCGGAGGACCACCGGTAGGAGTCGGAACAAAACCTTCTGTTTTTACCCTTCGGAATTCGATCAGTCACCAGCATCCGCTTGCATGTTCTCAAACTGCTTATCGGCGTGCCGTTGAAGTTTTTGTCCATCAAGTTGTCCACAACTAGCTCTTTGAAGTTATTTATTCTGATATCCCTTATCTTTTCGCAACAGAGAAACCCAGTGTGCTTATGCTCGGTGCTGTATGCTCGAGCCATCTGGCGCGTCCTCAGGTTGTGGATTGAGGAACGGCCGTCCACCATGGCGGTTAGCTGAGAATAGATTGAATAGGCAGTCGCGAACAATCGAGCGAACAAAACAGCTGTAGGACAAGAGGGCTGCCAACCTGAATGGACTGCTGCAGAAGAAATCTGGCAAAAACTTTGAAAATGGTATGATTTGCACCCGAGATGGGCGTGCGAGGATGCTCCGACTCTGCACAGCAAGCCCACACCTCGGCATAAGGCAGGAGCGGAATAAGGGCCACGGACGCATCAGAACACACATCACTTCTCACAACTTCTGGTCATTATCGACGAAATCTTCCCTAGACATGTACCTGCAACAGTTGGACAATATCAGACAGACATCGTCGGTGTTTGCGAAACTAGGAGAGCACGCGCAGTCTCAGCGAAGTGGTCAAGAGGTGAAGAAATCCTGGTGGGAAAAAAGCTGATAATGTGTCCAAAACAGGTGGAGTCGGTTTTATCGTCAAAGCAAGGATGGCCCTGTATGTTATTTCTTGCAATATCCAATCCCCACGAGTTGCCGTTCTTAAGAACAAATTACAAAAGGTGGGGAACTGAACGCTCAAAATTGTGGAAGTATACGCGCCCATTGCATCAGCAGAGGACGACGAACTTCAGTGCTTCTACGAGGAAATAGAGAGGGCTTTGAAGCTCACCTCGACGTACACTGTTGTTCAAGGCGATTTCAACGCCGCAGTTGACTTCCGACTGGATGGTACGGAGCATCTTCTGGGAAGGTACGGCGCAGAAGTAAGGAACGGTAGAGGAAATCGTCTAATCGAGTTTGCAAAACAACACAAATTCACGATAATGAGAACCTTCCTCGAGAAAAAAGCCAAGCGTCTTTAGACATGGAGGACACGAAAACCTCGAGACAGATTGATTATGTGCTTATCGATACACCAAGATTGTTCGCTGACGTCTCCATCACTGGGGGAAGTGTGATTGTTGCCGGCTGCCATCGTTGACTTCTACGCTCGATGGTCCTCTGCGATGCAAGAAAAGAATATCACATTCGCAAAAAAACACTCATACGACGTACTTTCAATGCGACATGTATGCAACGATGATTGCCTCGTCAGACCTACAGAAGAATACTGGTAATAGCATCGGTGCTGACTACGAAGATCTTGTGAAGAAAATAATACAGGCCGTAAAGGCATCGAGCGCAGCAACAGAACCAGCAAGGCGACGGCATATATCACCAGAAGTCTCTTCTTAATGAGAGCGCGCATGAAAGCCGAAGGGCGAGTGCAAACCGCGGATTACAGGGAACTCTTGCGAAGCGATAAGGAGAAAGATAAAATGCAACTATGAAGGCTACAGACAAAGGAAATTCAGCGAAGTAGCTGTGAAGAGGGTTGGTCTGAAAGCCGTAGAAAGGAATATTTGACTTAGGCATCATATACCATCTGCTCTCAAGGGCAATGCAGGTGATAGGACAATTAACCGCCTTTGGATGAACGAAATATGTATTAAGTTCGTTAATGAATTGTACTCTTCAGAGGCGGTCGTCGCAAGAGCCGTTCATACCGATCGGAATGCCATATGGGAAGAAGTGGAGAATGCAGTAAAATAGGTTAAGGCGGGGAAAAACTCAGGTTACATCAACATGCGTCTCGAAAACCTGAAAGCAGATGGATTACCTCTCTTCAAAACCGCTGGCACAGCTCTTTAGCAGATACTGCAGTGAGAAGAGGATTCCGGTGGCTTGGAAGAAATCACGCACGATAATGCTAAGGAAAAAAGCAACCTAAGAGTTTGGACAATAACAGACCCATCACATTGCTCTTTCAAGTTTATAAGACCTTCACCAGAATAATCCTAAATCGCATGGTCGCAGACCTGGACATGGACATGAGCCGAGAGCAAGCGGGACTTCGAACTGGGTATTCCACACATGACCACCTCCACGTTGTACGTCAGCTTACTGAAAAATGTAGAGAGTATCGGACTCCCCCATGTATGGCGTTTGGCGACTATAGGAAAGCATTCGACTCGGTCGAAACAATCGCGATACTGAATGCTATACGTAGATACGGTATTAATTCGTGCTATGTCGACCTTCTCGAAGAACTGAACAGTGGCTGTGCCACAGAAGTAAAGCTGTTCAATGATCGATGTCAGATAAAAATATGCTAGGGCGTACGACAAGGAGGTACGATTATTCCGAGATTGTTTGCCTAATTTTGGAAGCCCTGTTCAGTGATATTGACTGGACCGGAGGTATGGAGATCGATGGAGAACACCTGACCTATCTCCTCTTTGCTGACGATTGATTCAATTTGCACATGATGCCCTAGAGCTCCAAGAGAACTTGTGCAACTACAGATGAAATCGAGCGAAGTCGGACTTGAAATGAGTTACTCAAAAGCGAAGTGGATGCACAGTCAGTTCAGTACTACAGCGACTGTCATAATGAATGGCGAAACCACCGAGTAAGTAAAAAGCTCTACGCACCTCGAGCACCAGCTCAGCTTCTCAAAAGGCAGCACCGGAGAGTACAGCAGGCGCAGGAAAGCAGCTAGGTTTAGCTTCAACAAAATCTCAACGTTACTTCTAGACGAGGGCCTTCCGATGAGAGTGAAAGCGTCCTTGTTTCACTCGACGGTAACACCCGCGTTGTTGCACGGCGCAGAATGCTGGTCGTTTACGAAGGCAAACGAAGAGAAATTTGCTGTGATGCAAAGATCAATGGAACGCAGACTTTGCAAAGTGTCACTTCGTGAACATATCACAAACACAGAGCTGCGAAGACGAAGTGACCTCGTTAATGCTGTCTAGGAAATGTATAAACCTAAACGAGAATGGGCCGATCATGTGGCACGATTGAAAGACAAGCGATGAACATTCTGGCTAACGGATCGGACCCCATTGGATGACAAGCGAGCGCCGGGAAGACCTAAATGGAGGTGGGTCTATCCGAGTGACAGCGGAAGGTATCAAAGAGCATCCTCCGAATTCTGCAGGATTTTGTAGACAATTCACGGCATAATTTCGTTTGACTGCCCAGATTTTCACCCGTCACATATACAACGCATGAAAAAGGGACTTTGGGCAATGACACTTGCCAGTTTTCGGGCAGCTAGGGGTCACGTGGTGCATTTTTGAAAATGGCGCGCAAACAATATCGCGCTCCAATGCCACAGAAACAGAAGGCAAATAACTAAAACCGCCACGCAGCCGCTCGCAAAAGGCGGAGGATGCTCTCTGGTACCTTCCGCTCTGTAGCACCGCTCGGCCGATCCCATGGCGAATATGCCCAGTCAACAATGGAGACGACGTGCGCAGGACCGGAACGGATGTTTCAAAGTCGACTTGCTGAATGGCGAAATTCGCGAGGGTAAGTCGGATACAGGTGACAGGTGAATACTGAAACCAAGCATTGACCAAGGCAGTCTGGGTTACGAAATAAAAAATCAGTCGGATATACCATTCGGCGTTCACCCATTTGTTCTCTGCTCCTTCGTCATAGTCATCATTTGAGATTTCACTGTCGGAACCATCAGTGTGAGAAACAATCGTAGGAGCCATATTGTCGCCATACTAACCACCCTGAGCTCCATCGTCGATGTCGACCACTGGAACTTTCGTTGAACTCTTCGATTATGATATCTGGGACCTCATGATGGCAAAGATACTTGCAAGGATGATACTCTCAGAGACCCTATTAATATACTTCAGATTCAAATTCATCACCGCCAAATTTGAAGTTATCCCGAGTAGCCACAAATGTTGGGCATAACGAATACTGCTGAATGATTTGCGAGATATACTCTCGTACCAATTGCTTTCATATGCCTTTGACTGTATTCACTCATTTTTTCGAGAATTAACAAATTTCGAGATGGAAACTGTCTCGTCCCACGCTACAGTCACGGAAAAACTGGCTCGTCGTCGACGTGATAATTTCTTGTTCAAGCTACGCCCACCCCTCTGCTGTTGTAACCGACCTCGGTTGTTTGTTACTCAGCTTTTTCTATTTTTTTGTCCATTTTTCCAGGCTCTAGAGTTTTTCAGACAGATGAATAAATAATATTAATAGGCAGAGTGAAGCTTAATCTCAGCCACGTTTACCTGGTCCTGAATTCCGCCTACCAAGGCTATGTGAGCTCACTTTCCGCTAATCTTTGTCAACTATCTCTCGTAATCGACGGCGTTTTAGAGCAGAGTTGCGAATTTCCAGTGTTGTCTTTGTTCACCTCTGCGCACGTCTCGGTTACCCTTGAAGGCGCGGTTCACGACAAAAGTTGTTACTGAGTCTTTTCCTTAGAAATACTCAGTGGCCCCCATGGGTAGTAGAAGTGTCCCTCTCGCTCGCAAAATCTCGACGGTGAGGGCATAGTAGAAGCCCTGTTGCTGTCTTGAGTCGCTTTCCCGTCTCTCGATCGATGTCACGTCAGACGAGTGTCGAGGCATGCAGATTGTAAGTATTCATTCCTGGGCCCACACACAATCAGGTGATCGCCGAGAGATGAGGCGATGTTTTCCTCCCAATCTTTTTTCCTCTGTTATTCTTTTTTGCCGCCGCGATCCCTTTTTAATTCCCTACCCCAAGAGGCTGAAAAATGTGAGCTATTTTTGCTTTAACTAGGGTTTTTTTGTTTACTTATGCGTATAAGCGGATGAATTTTTCATACCGTGGTCAGTTATTTACATCAGGACCCACACGTATGAAGTGAGACACATTGTATAGCTCGTCCAATCACCCCACTCTTCTTCATTCTTCTGGTCTCATTCTCGTCCAGCCCACTTTTTGACAATTTTTCATAGCTTTTTTTCACTTCGGAAACCGATACGCGCAGTCCCTTTGCCTCCATCGCACTTTTTTCCATCTTATCTTCCATTTTTCGTCATAATCTGGGTTACCTAAACTTATCGTGAACTGTGTCTTTAACTTTGACCTCTCTTTTACTGCTTGTATCGTTTTCTCCTTTTTTTTCCTCAGCAAGTCTGCTCTCTATTCATTCTTTCCGTCCCTGAGCTGCTTAGTGTATGTATGTATATAACTAGGAAGGTTCCGCCGCAGCCCGCTGTTTCGCTTGCGAGTGACATCGTTCGATTAAAACTGACAACAATTTCGCTTTTCATAATGACAAGATGAGATATAAAATTATAAATCGTATCAATACGAAGCGTTACTGTTTCATGTTGATGTGGTTTGATGAAGAATGTTCAGCGCCCGGTCATGGTATTCTTGAACCGAAAAATGCAAAGAGCCTTCCCATCAGTCATTGTCATAACCCTGGCTAGGTTCTTTACGCGGTACCTATCGGATCGGAAAGTACCGCAAGAGTAAAAGCTGCCGTTGTGTCTTACCTTCATTAATTGAAGGATGCCTTTGGCGTCGAGACAGAAGCTATACTTGAAGCCTTTGACAATTTTGGGGTTCCTGCTAGACATATAAAAAAAATGCTGTATGAGTTCCACATCAGCTTCGCGGACAAGAAATCTACAAAAAAAAATCGTTGTCAACGTGAAGGAGTGGATCCCGGAAGATCCCCCCCCCCCCCCCCCACACTTTTTAGGGCCGCTTTCGAGAATATCATGCGTAATTTGGAATGTGAAGACATGGAAATGAGATCGAATGCTGCTACTTTCGTCATCTCCGTTTTGCACAGAAGACATCGTACTCATATTTGCGAAAGCCGAGTAAGCGAAACGAATTTCAGCTTTTACTGTGGAGAAATCGGTTAGCGACTGAACCTAACGAAAAAGATGCTCAGGAGGAACGGTTTGGTACCTGATGCTCCGTTTACGCTGAACGGGACGGATATTTTTGAGTGTATCTTGCTCAAGAAGACAACTAATGAACGGCCTGGCTCCTGAGCTGGGCAAAAAAAACATCCGACTCCTCTCTTACCTTTTCGACATTGCGATTTTTCCTACTTCGGCATGCGCCTGGGGACTAAGCTTCTACGAAAACAATGTGAGCAAGATGAGCAGACAGCCAGCGTCTTTCAACGCGCTACAGAAAGACTGGCTTTTGATCCTCCAATAAACGCAAGTGCAGGCGTAATCCAGACTTCCGAGCCCTCAACGAACAAAGATCAGAGATGCCGTTACATATGTCTGGGAAGATCAGTTGGGCCAGACATGTCATGCGATGTTGTAACGACCTTTGCTTGAGGACGCCTACCGGCTGGGTTCCTAGGAGTGTCGAAGGAACATCGGAAAGGTCGCCAGCGGGAGTCCGCTAGTGGATCCGCTAGTGGAAGTAAATGATCAGGAACGGCATGAATACCGGTAATCAACATAAATTTGGGGTTAACGTTCGAATGTGTCATGTGTCTCATATCGAAAGAGTCAGTGCTACTTTGTGTAGTATCCTTGTATTTCACGGATGACGGCGTAAGCACTTTACTTGGTAGATCGGGACATGTTCAGTGGAGAGGGAAGCTTCTCGTCCTAGCACTCCGAAAAGTGCCCACTGCACAACCATAGAGGGAAATTAAATCGTGCATTTCATTGCTTTTTGGAATGAGACGTATCCTTTGATTTTCACCGTGGCTTCACCCCGATCAAGAAAGATGTAAGGCTTTTCCCTTTATTGGTTAGGGAAATGGCTGTTTACAGGTGTCGCAACAATGTCGAGAGAATATATTTACAATCGAAACGCTGAAGGACTTTCAGCACATTGAAGATAACAGAGATCAGGTTTCCAATCCTTATTCCTTGAGTGAAGTTTTGAACCCTCTCAATGCTTTGTATTATTATAGGGCTTGAATATTCGAGAGAAAGCTAAGCAAATAACCGCACTTCTAACCGATGAAGAACGTCTTAAGAATGAAAGGACCCGTTTCATGTTGACAAGGACGAAGTAATCTTTTGTTCCATGTTTGTAGTCCTTACGTTGATTTGCTTCTCTAGATTCCGAGAAAACAGTGGATTGGGAAGCAGTTCGGAGCGGAGAATCCACCGCTCGGATACAGGGACTGCATTAGGTGAGGAGATAGTTGCTATACATTTTACATTAGCGATCCTTTATGGACATTTTTTCTCTGTAGTGTTTTGGTTTCCTTGCTCTGCTGGCTTAATTTTCAACCATTGTCTTATTCGGGTGAACCTACCAAAAAAGACATGATCCGTCCTCCCTACCACCACCATGCTTGAGGGGTGGGGGATGGCTCACGTCATATTGATCCACAAAAGGGAGAAACCTGAAACGATCTTTTACGACAAAAAACTTTTCACCGTGAAATACATATCCAACTAGCGAGAAAACAGAGATGCTAAGCCGATCTTCTGGAAAAGCGTATACGGAAAGAAGAGTCATCTTGCCAGTCTAAAGTCCAGCTCATAACTAGTTTTAACTGGTGTAAATGCCGCTGGGAAAATATTCTCACTCCTTTGCACGGACCCTTGGCAAGGACCAAAGACGGCCAATCCAATGTGTGCGGGAGCCGATTCTCGGTGATACGCCCAATCCCTCCAGTCCTTAAAGGCGAAGGGTTGCGAAGTTTTGTATGGTTGAGGTCACTTAACACCATGACGCGAGGCGACCTTGATTAAATGTAAAACCATGGCTACTCTCTGCCCGCACATCGTTATTGAGCGCGTAAAGAAAATTATAAAAGGATAATATAACATCAGTAAGAAAGTGTCAAGAAATCAGATGTCAAGTAAATACTAGGTTTTTAATTAATAAAGCTTCGATATCGCTGGATAAGGATAAGAATGATTCGTGCAGAAGGACTTCATTAAATATTAGGTTGGCAAATAAGTCCTGCGACACAATGAAGGTCTTCTTCAAATCATTTCTGAAATTTTCCAGGCCAATCAATTTCCGGAAACATATTTACCAAAGAGGTCAACAGTCTTCTATTATCCTTAGAATAAATCAATGATGCCTTTTATCCAGGAGTGAGGAAGCTGTGACTCAAGAAGTAATTGACTGCCGTTTTCGGATCACATTAAATTACGAATTTCTTTTCCACAACGGATGCTCAAAAAGGTGGAGCACATGGTAGTTCAAAGGGAAAAGGGGGAACGCTCCCAGAGTACGGCTGATGAGTAACCGGGAACCAAGCGGGATCGGTGAACTTTCGACGTGGGTCTAAACGAATTTTCTACGTGCGTTGTCCCTCTGTAGGAACCTGCTTTACGGTTTCATCTTCCTTCTCTGACCCCCGTTGGCCGAATAGAGCGGATCATAGATGTAGGTGATAGCTGTGTCCATCTAGTCTGCGTTTAGCAACTTATAGTGGATAGATTCCTTCAACCTCCATTAAATTAAGGGACGATGCTTGCGTTACTCCGAAGGCTAGTATCTCCTGCAGCGAAGCGATCCAACCGATTGTTGGCCGTCGATCGGCGAGCAGTGCTGGCATCGAATAGACTGCTGATATTTCGAGCCGCTACGCCCGCGTTTTTTCCTTGGCGTGCTTTGTAGAAGGTGATGGTACGAATCGGGTGTTGTCCATTCATTGACCGTATGCTGCGAAAGCCCACACGCGTGCCCTTATTTACACACGTGTTGATTGCCCGGAGAACATCCTACAAGTTTATCACCCTTGCTACCGTGTTCACATTGTTGATTCAAATTTTCAACGCTTCTAATTTTTTGTCGCAGGACTTATTTGCCAACCTAATAGATTTGTACTCACAAGGGGAAGGTACTAGGTCCCAGTTGCCGTTCAAAAAGAGATGTATACTCCACGTACGCCCGTTTTTGAACGCTGACGTCAAATCCACATTCCGAATCTGTGAAACAGTTCTGGGAACAAAGTTACGGAAACATTCCTTCCACGTGATATAGGGTTTTGCCGAGCGTGTATCGAGGTCGAGTTGCTAAGCCACATGTGAAGCGATAGCGCAAATGGTAAGGCATTGGACCCGATGACGTAGCATGGGAGTTTGCATACGGTGTGCGTGAAATTGTTGTGCATCCTTATGAAATGTTTTCCAAAGGCTTGCAAATCAGTTTTACATCTCCCATTATCTGACTGCGGTGCATCTTATCCATAAGGAACCTCGCAAAGATGATGTATTGCCCTTTCAGGACCTCAGGAGCTTCCAATGCAGTCTAGTTGTTATGATTGCTAATATTCAGTAACAGTTTCTCAAAATAGGTTCATTCTGTTTCATATAGCTTACTCCGCTTGGTGCTCGTGCAATGGTGCAGGAGTCGAGTTTTGTAATAAGAGCGTTTTCATCACTTTCAGGTTTATGATCCTTTTGTGGACCATTGTCAAGCCCTCTGATTCATTGACTATTTCTACTCTTTTCCTGTTGCCAGAAGCAGAGTACTAGATGGCTTCACTCTCGCAGTTGTGCTCTTTACCATAACGTGCATAACTACTATCTGAAGGCTAGAACTATCCGATCCTAGCTAGCCTTCTGATGATAGCGCAGATGGAACACCCCTCACAAGTTTTTGGGATCTTCCAATAAATATTGAATATTTGAATGAGGAAAATACTTGTCCAAGAATTATTCCACCCGTAAGCATTGTTTTTGCAGTCCAGGTGGAATGACCATCATCTTTCACTTTTCGATGGTAAAAAAAGTTTCCACTTTTATATTCAGGAAGAGCGATTTGTGCTCCATTATTGCCAAACATCATTAGTAGAATGTGATAGAAATCGCGAGAGATTGTATGTTTTCAGTTTGGCTCATCTCAACACCTTGGCAATTCTGCTCCTCATTCACCTTCGCGGAAACGGTAATAATGACGGGTGGGACCCTTGAACTTTGATGTATAAGTGGTCATTGAGCACTCATTGACTAATACATCTTCTTGCTTCACGTCGTCGGTTAGATAGTGTAAAACCATATGCTAGAAGTGCTATATGATAAGCCATTCCAATCTTTTTCACCCATAGTGCAGGAATTGATCTCTGCTGTGCAGTAGCACTCCTCTTCGGGTCAGAAAGGTCATTAGTGGTAGCATACATTTTTTGAAATTGCTAAACGAATGCATGCCCATGTTAGGGAAACACTCATGCCATACCTCGAACCCATTGTCTTACCTGTTGCGCTATCGCTTCAAATCTGGCCGAACAACTCGACCTCGATGCACCCTATGTCGCTGAAGAAAATGGAAGAAATGCTTCAGTAACTTTGTCCACAATCGTTTCGCAGAATTGGAATGTGGATTTGACACCAGCGTCCAAAAGCACATAGGTGCATGTACATCTCATTTTAATCGGTCAATGAAATCCAGTATTATAATCTTGTTAGAAGGTCTGCAATATGTAGCAGATGAGCGATTATTTCGCTTCGCTCCATACTTCGCATTGCACCTGTGTGTTACCTTTACTGGATCGAAAACTATATGCGGTCAGCATGATAACCACGGAAATCACATCTAATATAGCCTGCTTCGCGTTGAGGTACGAATTGACCTCGATCGAAGTTCACACCCGTAGAAGGAAAGGCAGCAAGGTCTTTACGTTACACTAGATTCCGCGCCCGCTCGCAAAGCGAAGATAGTCCAAGACCGCTGTCGCCAGTGACTGGTCACTTTGGCTGAATGACCCTCATTCTCGCCAGACCCCTGCAATTATCAGTGGTACTCGGAGCAGAAAGCCCATGTTACACGACATCGAACTCTCCAATTAAATCTTAAAACTTATTTTCAAAGGGACAAATCGATCAGTTGAATACAGGATTCTTTTCTTTTCATGACCGAGGTTATATACATATATATCCTATCTTAGTGGATATAATGCGCTAGGTGAGTGTGTGTACGTGTGTGTATGTGTGTATGTGGACCGTGAGCGAAAATTGCTGATGGAAGGTGGTAGAAAGTAACTGATCTGGATCGTGCCCGGGGGACATATGGGGATGTAGGGCGCGGAGCATAAGCGTGATCTGAATGATTTTGGGCAGTCATGCCAAAAAAAGGGAAATCAATCAAATCACTTATATACACGAGATGAGCACGACTCTGCTGATCTCATAGTGAGCGCTGAGGAAGTGTGCGTGGGTGTTTGCGTGTGTTTGGCCTGAAATTTATATCTCGTGTTCTTTTGTATCAGAGTGTCCAAATTTGTAAGGAACGTTGAACGTAGGCCAATCTTACACGTAAACGATGAGAGTCCGGCCTTAGCCGGGCTATACGTTTCAGTGGTTTACGTCCACCCATCACTTTAAGAAAAACTTTTCTAAAAGAACTGGCTCACTTTAGCAGCATACATTATCAGATTCTTGTCTCAAGAAAACAATAAACAACATCTTTTCAGTCAAGCAAGTAAACAAGGAATTTTTTTAGAATCATTTTTTGAATTCCGGCCGTTTCATAATACATGTACGTACATCCCTGATATATGACTCGAAAAGAATTTCCCTGTTTCAAACGGGGTATATGTCCGTACCATGATCGAAGGCGACATGTCTTCTTGCAACGCAGCGTGGTCTCCGTCTCTCTGCAGAAGAAAAGCCCCAGATTCGAGCTTCCCACTAGACCGGGCTCAGCAATCGACGCATTGCCAGGTAAATCGGCAGAACTCGCTGTATCGTCGGCTAAGACGACGATCCTCCTCAACTACATCGTCGTCTCACCGTCTGAGACGACTCTCTAAGTGAACCCACGCCCCTTATGGTGCGGGGTCAAGCGGACCCGAGAAAAGTGGGTCCGCACTCCTCTTCCTTAAGTCGTCAAAGCAAGACGTAAGTTGCCTGCCTTATAAAGTGTTGTCTACCATTATTGTGTGCTGTTATAGCGGGAACGACCGCACTTACAATATTATTGTGTTATATTAACTCCGTTATCACCGGAGCCCCTAGAAATATCCACTGAACCAACAGCACACACGGCGTGGTTTGCTCCTACCTCAGAGATCCTGAAGCCTACGACGACGGAGTTGCCCGGGGACGTCGACACAAGTTGTCCAACAGAGATGAACGAGAAATGTGGAAATAGGAGAGCTTCAAACACTATCTGTAGCGTCAACCAGCTCCGTGCAGACTTGAAGCCTGTGTCGGAAACGACTGTTTGGAGAGCTATCATACGCAGCGGCAACATTGTGAGGGAAGTTATGAGGAAGGCGTCACGTCTAAGCGACTCACAAAAGATGGCGCGCCTCAATTTTGCTCGAAATGCGACCACGGATTGGAAGCAGGTGCAGCCGTGAAGCTAGG